GGTTAGAAGTTTGATAGGAGCAGAAACCTGAGATTATGCTTTATGGTGCCTTCAAGACCTTTGTTTTTATCTAATCACTTAAAGGAAGAATGTTTGCCGTCACATGTACATCATTGCTGTATATTGGCATTAACAATAAGTACTTGTTTTCACTCAAACATGTATTTTCTAAGGATTAGTTTGACTATGAATCCAAATTAGACTGCACCAGTTAGCATGGCATCATTCTCATACTGCTGAATGGTAGCTGTTCACTGTGATTCATGATCATCAGCGATATTTTTCATTGCATTTTTGACTGAATTGCAGCTTTAAAGTGCTTTAGTCTGTTTTCTAGATTTACAGTCCGTGAGCTCCATACCATGATCAACTGCTGACATATCTAGTCTCTTGGGCTTCCTCCATATTAAATTTGCCATCTCTCGTCTTGGTGTACTTTATTACTGTGAATGGCTAATTAGAGGAACTGGAATTCATAATTAGGTTTTGCTGCTCTCTGTGGAATCTGCTGTCCCTGTTTAATGGGAACGATGATAAAGATTCCAGCTTTGACCATCACTATGGACACAAGGTAAAGGAAGGTTGTCAAGCCTGTCCATCGTTCCATGTTTGCAAACTAGCTGAAAGCAATTGTTGGCCAATTTCCACATCGCATGTCTATCGATCAGGTCGGATTCAGAGCACAGATCTGGGAGGCATGTGCAGTCCAACATGGGGAAAAAATATTGAGCAGCTGTCTGGCCCATGGTCATATGTGCTTATAAACTAAAGCCATTCTTTTTATGTGCCAGAAGAGGAGCTTTGAAGGCTGATCACATGAAACTGAGAATGTCTGTTCAAAGGAGCATTAACAATGCTGTATGAACGGCTCCTAAGGAGGTCTATAGGATGATGTAAGGAAGCTTCTGAAAGCCTTTTTACATTATCCTTTTCCCCACCGCACACAAAGTAAGGAACCTTATACAGTTTCTAGTCAGAAGTTTGGACACACCATCTTCAAGAAGGGCTTCCTTATTTTTGTTACGTTTCACATTTGAGAATAATGATGGTAGATCAAAGCTCTCTGAGATTTAAGACTCTTTAAATAACCATTTGTCTGGTTGCTGCTTTGCACACTCTTTCCAGCAGTCTACAACAGTGGTCACCAACCCTCCTCCTGGAGATAAACCTTCTGGCTGGTTTCATTTCCGACCCAAAATTAACATACCTACCTCAGCTAATCAAGGACTTCTGAAGGCAGCAATTAAATGGTTCTGGTGGGTTGATTTGGGTTGCAGCTGGAGAAGAAGAGCACCAGGAGCAGATTTGGTGACAACTGACCTGGACAAAGTGCTGCATGTGTTGACGCCTTGCTAGCTGCTCAGAGCTACTTTTCAGAGGGGCGTCATGTTTGTTATTTACAATGTCTTAGAAGCTATTTAAGCTATTTATTTAAGTCTTTTAGATACATTCAGAGGCTGTTTGGCTTTCACTTGATCACATGACAAGCCAGGCATAAACATACCCGGGATGCACTGTGCCTGTTTTACATGATTTCTTCTGATATTCAACCGCGTATAATACCCTGGTAGTAGCAGGTGAGTCCATGTTTACAGTACATTACCAGAAGTATTTACCTGGAAGTGTATATTCTGCATGTGTTAATGTGCTTTTTTACGCCAGTACCAGTAAAGTTCATCATGGTCACAGTGGGGACGCTTTTTAGTGAAACATGTCGCTGAAAGTAAATCCACACATGACCCGGACATGAAGCTCATGTTGATGCTGAATTAAGAAGCTATTAGGTTTGACTGGCCCTGTCTGTGCGGGTGCATTGTCAGTCTAAAGGCAATAGTCCTGTCAGTGGTTAGCCTGTCTTCTGAAGGACAGTGAATTGGTTACATAATGTTGAACAGGGTTGTGTTGGCTTAGCATGCATCAATGTAAGATACTGTTAACATTCCATGTCAGGTCTGTGTCTGTTGCAGTTTATCTCCATTCTATTAGACTGGTTGTCCTACATAGATGTGATATATGTGGTGATTGCAGTGGTGTTATTTTACAGCTGCTAAAACATTTGGAAACGCAGGGATGCTCCCTTTCATGTTCTGCAAACCGACACTTAATTTTGTCCACATATCATTCTTGTTACGTCTTGTTGCATAAGACGTCTTGCAGCAGTGGAGACCGTGGATCTGTGCTGTTGAGCATCAGTGAGTGACCGAGTATTCTGCTACGCTGCATGAGTCGACAAAAAAGTCTCTGAGCTCCCTTCGGGGGCAGTATAACTGATAACATATCTTCAGTGGTCAGTGATGCTGTCCTTGCTTCAGCGGATAGAAGAAATGCATTTCACTGAATGCTTAAAAATGCATTATTTCATAGTAGTATGTTCATTATATATAGAGTTAAGAGTATTTTCTTGGCTTCTTTATGCACAGTTGACTAAAAGAGAGGGCTTTGTCTGGGTTAAAGGTGTTATTTGGTTGGCACCAGTATCGATTGTATTAAGAATCATGCAGTCTACCCATTATTTTGACGATGGGTCAAGTAATAAGAGTTTTTAAAACATGTAAAAAATGTATTTAAATGCACAGTAATAAGCTGTACATAGCCTTTAAAATATTTCAAAACTACTCTTCTTCTTTGGAATAAGATAAAAAATCAATATCTTCATTAATAACACTGTGTGGCAAATAGTGTTTATAAATGGGTGGAGCCATTGGGTTCTGTGTCTTACTCTAGTAGAAACCATTGAGATTTAAAAGCATTATCATCATGCAAATTGCTATATGATCACTGCCGATTAGTTGAGAAGGTAAATTTTAATCGATTAGTTGATTAATCATAACAGCCTATTACTATATTGACAGAAAATGTCCCTACATGCTGAATACAGATCTAGGAGCTGCAGTGATGTCACACTGCTCTATGCAAAGGCATTGAGAGAGCGAGAGAGAGAGAGAACGAGGGAGAGAACGAGAAAAAGGAAGGTGTGCAGGAGGCGAGCAGAAGCTACAAAGATCTGGTCCTTTTCAAATGCCCTGAAGATGGAGAACGCATGGAATTCCTGTTGCTTTTTCATTGTGATTAAAGGGCTCCATTGGGATACGTGTTTTCTTAGGCTGAAGGCTGAATGTCACTGCTCTTGCCTTGACATATCAGAAGGAAAGTGATATGAACTGCACATGGAAAGTGATTGTTCGTTTTTTGCGCTGTGTGGCATCTTGGCATCCTTGGCGGAATCTGTAACCTTGATGTGAACACCACGCTGCAAGGGGCTTTCCCAGCCTCGCTGTCTCGCAACTCTGTCACCATTTAGGTGAACTGAACTCTCGCAGCCTTGGAGGCATGACTGTGCCAAACGAGAATGACAGCTGGGGCAGTTTTTCACAGATTCTGGTCACGGTCTGTGAGCGTGCGAGTAATGGGGACTGAGCGATCAATGGAGACTGTAAGGCAGAAGGTATTCAGTGTCGTGTGTGCCTGTGCATTATGACCTTTTCTGTTTCTAATGACATTGCGGTGTGTCTGGTATGTGATGCATGTATATGTGTGTTCTAGACACCTAGACAACTTTTTTGTGAAGGAAGCCAATGGAAACCAGTATAGCATCTCTTGAAACTTGTCAGCAAACTGACTTCCCCATTACTTAGTATTAGAAACTACATCATTTTTCATTTACTTGAATGAGGGAGGATTTTCACTGTAAATGATGCAAGGAAGTTAAGCTGGTGTAAACTGTTGATGCATTACTGTCTCTCTCAGAGATGTGTGGAAAAAAGAAATTTATTACTATCTGAGCATTAAACTTGTCATCAGGTGATCGAGTTTGGTCTACAGCTTTGCCACTGTCATCTGGATCCTGTAGTCCAAGAAGGCATAATTGGCCTCATGCTCTCTGGGTGGGTCAGGTGGCTCTCCTTCTCCCCTCATCTTTCAAATGATAGCCAAAGTGGGCGTCCGTTAGCTGATGTAACAGAACTGGAACCGAACTATAACTTCTCCTCTAATCAAGCTGTCCAATGACATTGTGTTAATGGCAGTTCGAATGGTAGTGGTGGCGCTTCATGCATCGCAGAGGAATCATGTGCTAGCCTTCACCCTCATAGCTTGGTAGCATCGTATGATAGGGGAGGACCTAGCTGTTGAGTGGAACTGGATATACCTTAATTGGGGAGCTGGCAGTGACCCACTGAGAAGGCCTGAGACCAGTGTTTCTTTTCTTTAACGTTTACTCAGTCAAATCTTATTCAATTGGGGGCTGAACGATTTGCAAAATATCTAATTGCGATTTTTCCTACTTAAAATGTGATTGTTTTCCATAAATTTAGGTCCGTGCCTTTTTTTGCCAAGATTTCCAACATTTTCTGCCTTGTTGAGGTTGTGATGTCACAGCACACAGCTGTTTGGTTGCGCCTGATCGGTCTAACTCATCTACAAACAGCTCACAAGCTCTGTGTTATTAGGTTAAACCTCCCTACTTAAAACTTGTGGATTATAATAAAACCTGCAGCTCTTGTGTTGTGAAAAGTGCACTCTTTTAAATTGTGATTTCAATGCAAAAATGATTCTTTCAGTTGTAATTCAGTTAAACAACTAATTGAACCTTTTGCCTTCTTCCTCTGTTATTCAAAGCTTTCCCTGTGCTATGATGGTGATGTGCATCGAAACAAATGAAATCATAATGCTGCCTATGCCTCCTGTGGTGTATTGCCAACTGTGGAAATGATTGTGTGCATTATAAGAACATTTATAGAGCATTTTTTGACTTTTAAGCCTAATTGATGTCATCATTGACTAATTGTTGCAGCCCTTCTTCTAAGAAGCAACTTTTGCAATAAAATTTAAGAATGTTTAGTGACCTCATTGAGCTTCGACATTGCTGATGTTATGCGTCATACATCTTTCTTGGATATGTATGGGGAAAAAACAGAAGTTTGATCTCAGCTTCTTGGTTACCCACTGACTAATTGCAGTTTTGGTGGAGTCTCTTATGATATTGTGATGTGTGTTTACAGGAGCCTAGCAACAAGCGGGTGAAACCTCTGTCTCGGGTCACGTCTCTGGCTAACCTCATCCCTCCGGTCAAGGCCGCACCACTGAAGCGTATTGGACAGACACTGCAGGTACGACACTAATCATTTTATCTTCACATTACCTATGGTCTGTGAAGTGTACACCCCTGTCCCTATATCACCTTTGCTTTTACATAATGCTGGAGGCCATTACTTTAATTGTTTTCCTGGTATTGGAGTCATTAGGGTCAGTTTGATTATTACGAAGCCTTACTGCTCAGGTTGCTGGGGATTTATGTTGACTTGCTTTACAAAGCTGTGGAACCTAATGTACAGTACCAGTCAAAATCTTTGACGATAGAAGGGTCTTTTGGTTTCATGTTCCATATTTTAGAGTAATAATAAGCCCACAAAGCCATGAAATAAATCATGTGGAATTAGGCAGTAACCAAAAAAGGTGATCAACAAGTCTTCTGCTTTAGATTCTTTAGCTACTCCTCTTTGCCTTGATGCAGGTTGGCATTCCCTGAAGCAGCATCATGAGGAGCCACTTGGGGAACATTTCTAACAGGCTTGAAGTCCTGCATATACTTAGACTTTCTGTTTGTCTTGAAGCACAATTCATGCATTTAAACATGTGACTTTCAGATGATTAAAAACATATTTAGTGATTTGGCCAAACTTTTCACTAGTACTGTGTGAAAAGCAAGTGTCGTTGTTGTGAAATATCTCTCTGGCCTATGTCTTTTTTGGAAATTGGACTTTTTAAAAGAATGAGATTATGCATTATTTAAAGGCTCTCTGTGACTTTCTGGTGAGACATGAGTTATGTTTCTGCTGGAGCCCTTGGGCCAGACTTGTGATAGCAGCTGTTGCTGTGTGAGCGAGTGGGGGCTGGGGATCAGGTAGGCATGTCCCAGCCCATCTGGCTCAGAAAGAGGGGAGCTTGAACAAGAAAAAGAAAGAAAGGACAGAGCTGGAAATGTGTGGAGCTGGGAAAAACAGGCCCAAGGCCCGGGGCAGGAAATGAGACAGCCTGAGGTTGGCTTAGCACGTCTGGAGGCCATTCTGGGGCCGCCGGCCAGCGGGTAGCTCTATGTGCTGAGTGTGACTGGAGCGCAGAGTACAGGCTAATGATTCATCGCCCAGCTCGCAGGCTTTCCCTGTTTTCACTCTGTCTGGTTCTCACCGGCTTCTCACTCGTGCCATTGTTCTGCGAGGCAAAAGGAAGCACGCACTGCTTTTTGATAGGCGTTTATAAAGCGATAATTTGACTAAAAAATCTAATTTACACAGTTTTCCTCCTTACTCCCAAATGCAGTCAGTCAGCCAAGACATGTTTGATGTCTGAAGTTTGCTTCTTTAGTTTTGCACTGTAGCTAACAAGTAATGGATGCTTATACTCCGCCGATGTGCATGGTGCCCTAATCACACAGTTGCCTTAAACCACACTAAGTTGTTAAGAAATCTCGAATAGACTTACTTATGCTGTTTCTGACACTGTATGACATACTGTTATCTATTAATATGGATAGAAGTATGTTGCATTGCTAAAAAAACAGTAGAAGCAGACAGAAATTCTTTGTTCTTTTCAACATCCATCTTTTTGTTGACTTTTATGGATAGCAGTATGTCATAAAGCATTAGAAATCACATAAGCAGGTTTGTTAACATAATCTACATGAATAGAACCATGTGTGTAATGATATAGGCAGTTTGTAGGATGCTAATTGGTTGGATAAAAGCCTGTATTAGCTGCATTATCCTTGTAGCTCAGGTGCAAAACTAAAGAAGCAACCATCATACATGTCTTGGCTTATCAACTGTATTTGGGGAAAATTTCTTTTTTTGCCAAATTATCACTTTAAAACTAAACCAGAGATACTTCGTATCAAGACATTGATGGTAATCTATCTATTAAAGTCTTGCTTGAGGCACCCAGTAAGGACCCTTAAGCCTTCTATAGTCTTTCACATCTTGCATAAACATTCTGTGGTAGCGTGTGGTGCTCTAGACTGGCCGCCCTGAGTGCAGCCTCTACAACCTCAACACATTCTGCTAACACAACAGGTTTTTGACACAGCGCTGCGATTTGCCCTGGCTGCAGTTCACGCTGGATCGATCACTCTGTTTCCAAAACATCAGCCCATGCTCTTACTAATCTGACCTAAATGCCTTATGTCTTTTGATGGTTTGCATTATCACAGTTGAATAGACAGTCATCCCTCACAGTTACATTAGATGCAGTGATGCTAATCATTGTTGATTCTCCTTTGACCATAGTTTTTCCACATTTCTCTTTTCATGAGCACTGAACAGCATCCTACATTAGGCATCTGTGTCCATCAATGAAATCATTCAGCGCAATTCTCAGTACATTGTTTGAAAATGAAAGCATGAAAATGAAAGTACAGCCATGCATACAGTTGAAACCAGTCTTTTGAGGTTCCTGTCCTTGGATAATAGCTGTGTAAAAAGGCATCAGTGCATTATGATGCATCAGTTTGATGGTGCTGATTCAACTGCATCCATTTGGGAATGTTAAAATCAATTATAGTTAAATATGCACCCATTTTTTCCCAAAAATATAACTCTTAGGCTATTCTAATCATGGTGAGATTTCATGAAACACACAACAGAACAGGATATACACACCAAATTGCTAAGTTTTCATGTTTTTTTTTCTACAGCGCTCTATCAGTTTCCGCAGCGAAAGCAGGGCTGAGATTGTTCCTCCTCGGCCATGGGGTAGGCAGGCGCCGCCCTCCATCACCAAGCGCCGAGACAGCAAGCTCTGGAGTGAAACATTCGATGTTGGCCTGGGCCAGATGCTGTCCTCCAAAGAGATTAAAAGGCAGGAGGTAAGAGGGCAGAGTTACATACAAAATATCTGCTTCCTATGTCGGGTTTACAGCGGTCCGTTTTGACGCAGTCTGATTGGTGGAAAAGCATTCTGTCTCTTTTGACCACAGTATGCCTCTGATCACGGGTTGCTAAGTAACAACACTGGTCACTTCACTTTTTACTCGTTTTTGGTGGAGGACTTTAGCAGTATTAAAAAACAGGTTGTCCATTATTTGACCAGAAAATAACTGCAAGACCAATAAATTTAAAATTTAAATTTAAATTTTTAATTTACCAGTCTTGCAGAGCGTCCTTCATGCTGTTCTGCATGTGAAGATAAGACTGACCCCTGGACTGCCTCTGTTTAATGGAGGATGTAGTTGCTCTCAAGTTCAGATTTAGTAACATTAGCCTGCTCTACAAATGCCGACACATTTAGTGCAAGTAAAGCTTCTGTTACTTCAAAGGTTTTGTTTAAATGTAGGCAGCAGCTTGGATAAACTAGTACACTTTATGGTAAGTTAAAAAAGTTAATCTAATAATTTACAAGTAGCATCACATATCTCTACTGATCTGACGGTCAATAAATATATCGTCCACAGTGATAAGACACAAAAACGTGGTTTTGTTTAGTTTAGTTGTTTTGAGCAGTGACGCTCTGAAAGAAAAAGGTTTAAATACATTCAAGTCTTTAAGAATTTAAGTCTGCAAAAGCCTTGAGGTTTTTATTTTAGGCTGTTGGGCAATATGTTAGAACACAGTGTATGCTTTGAGCATCATTACCACCATTACAAACGCTGTTAGAAACATATATTTAAAACAGTATTTAGGGCTTCTTTGCTTTGCTGTTTTCCTTTACTTTGCAAAACTGTTGTATAATAGAACGCTCAGTGTTGTGTGCTATTACGAATGACATCATTGTGGTAACAATCCCTTGCCTTCTGCTTTTGCCTGTGGCCACAAGGCATAATATGTATTTGAGACACTGGTGTTTACAGCGGTGTGTTATTTTACAGCTGCTTAAACATAAGGAAATCCGTCTTTCATGTTATACTAAACCGCTACTTCATTTTGTCCAAATACATCTTACATAAGACGCCCTGCAGGAGTGAAGACACTGGATTAATTCTGCTACTTTTGAACGTTAGTGAGTGGCAGGGTGTTCTGCTACGCTGCATGAGTCGACAAATTGTCTCTGAGCTCCCTTTGGGGGCAGTGGAGCTGATTACTTATCTTCAGTGGTCAATGATGCTGTTATTGCTACATTTGATTCAGTGCTGGGAAAGGCATTATTTCACAATAGTGTGCTCATTAGCTACAGGGTTAAAACAAAAACATGGTGGTCATCACTTCTTGATGTAAAGTTTTTGACATATTAGAGACAAAACATATCCTTGTGTCTTGAATCACATCGCAGTGTGTCGTATTGCATCGTATCGCTGTGTCGTGACTAGGATGTTAAGCTGTGGCTGGAGCATTAGATCCGGACATTATAAAGCACAGATTTTCAAATATTGTATTTTATAATGAACTTTAATGGGCAATATTAACATATTACACATTTTCAGCTGCTCCTTGTTTTGCTGTGATGAAAATGTATCTAACTGAGACACTAGTTTATAAAGTTTTATGCGAAATTGTAAATGAGTGGAAAGGGAAAAAGTATTATTATAAGTTGTATATTTGGTCTTTTTGAGCCAGACCCATTTATATAAATTTCCAATATAGTTGTCTTGGATTAAAGGCTTAAAGTGGTTTTATGACTTCCTTATTTCTTTTTCCATCAGAATATTTTTGAATGGCTTTGCATAGTTTGTAATTGTTGGTAGATTAATCAATAACTAATATAATCAATGGTGATGGCCCTACTTTTGAACTTTCAATGCCCTGTTAAAAAGTTCCTCTGAGGTTTCATGGAAATTGACCAGTTGGCAGTGTCACCTATTTAACTGTGCTCTGAGAGAATGGCTCAGACAAAAGTCTCCAAACTCTAGTCAAAGCAAACCTAGTGTATTTGGAGTAGTGAAACACACACAAGCCCCACAGTAAACCTCAGGCAGACACTGAGTTCCAGTTCACTAATCCCCATACAAATTATGCCCTGTGAGTTCACATGGAAAGCACACATTTGGCTGAAATGGAGCTGTTATTGGAGTGTGGGAGTGGAGGCTGATGAAGGTTTCTCCTCAGTGCTCCCTTGTATTCCCTTCACTTAACTATGCAGTTGTAAGTGTCCAAGCACTAGCCACTGATTTTTCGCTAGTAAAATTTAGTGAGCCCTTACTGTTCCCAATTGAGTCTCTCTACGTCTCTGTGGCCACACCAACTTCAAAGGAGTTGGGATATGGTGTGGATAACATGGAGCAGCTGTCTATAGGGAAATATTAAGCTTTTTGGAGGTCAAGAAGGAGGGTCCTGTAGGGTTTTTCCCTGCACACTGAAACAGCAGGACTAAGCTGAACAGCAGCTTAAAGAGAATAGTAGTCAAACTGAAGGTTGACTACTGTCTGTTCTCACTATGCATGGAAGTGCTGCCTTGCATATAGGAGCCAAGACATTTTTATTTTTTTGGAAACTTGAAAAATACCTGGAATAAGACCTGGTTACAGTAACATACATTAAAGTTGAGAACATTTTTATCGTCTGAGATTTAAACTTTTAACTGAACTAAATATTTATGTACCTTATTTAGAAGTTTAAAAATTAAGCTTGCTATGTTTTTAACTATTCTTCACTTTACAAAAAAGTAGACTTTCACAAATCAGTCAGTGTTACTGTTTAAAATATGTCTCTGGCTGCCTAACAAGCTTTGGCTCCTTTTCAAATTGTATTAACCATCTTGCCTTCTCTCTCTTTTTTATAGGCCATCTTTGAGCTGTCTCAGGGCGAGCAGGACCTGATTGAGGACCTCAAGCTGGCTAAGAAGGTTAGCTCTGCTTTTCCAATTAGTGGCCTTTTCCTCCTCACTTCATGTGCTGTGTAAACACAGAGTTATACCCCCCCACTGTGGAAAGCCCGGCTCCGATTACCCTCCGCTCATGAAATCGCACACTTCACGGCGGTTTTGGGGGCTGGGCAGCACATGAAGGGCGCTCACAGACACGTTTATGTCTGCCTGTAATACATAGCCTTCTTAAGCGTATACGGTCATCACTGTTTCGTTCTGTTTGTAATCACACAAGTACTATCCAAACAGAAATTACTACTGTATCCAACATGGCAATAGACTTTCATATTTTATTGTGTCTGGGTGAAGTTCAAGCTAGCAAAAGGCTGTAAAACAAATGAAGTACCTTTTCTTTAGTTTTACTTGTTCTATTTATCTTAAGGCCAAGCTGACCCTTAGTTCAAGATGTTTTTTGGGTCATATTCTTTTGGGTTACAAAATTCCGCCCTGGCTTGAACAGCTCCAGAGTGCTTTCCAAAGTGTTGGAGTCGGGGTTGAAGTCTGGCTTACGTTTGTGTGATGTAACTGCAGGCCTACCATGACCCCATGCTGAAGCTGTCCATAATGACGGAGCATGAGCTCAATCAGATATTCGGCACCCTGGACTCTCTCATCCCGCTGCATGAAGGTGAGAATTTCCCTTCCTACCAGCTACAGCTTAATAAACTTATGAGAGTAGTATATTAAACATATCACACTGTGCTGTGCTGTTACACATTTTGTGCTACTTTTCACAACCAGTTTGTTTGCTTGCTTGACACAGGCAGAATGTTCAGATTTTTCTGAAGAAAGATATGATTTATTTACACAATCTGTGTCTGAGATAATATGCTGTGTTCTTGTAGCCTGACTCTAAATGTCCTAAGATACCGATAACACAAAAAGTGCTGTTAAAACATGCAGTTAGACTTTCATTATTACTGCAGTTCAAATTATTTCAAGCAGCTAAATCAATGTTCTAGTGGAACGGATACACTTCCATGTTAGTCAGTATTTTAGTCCACGCCGGCTGCACTAGATCCTTGCCTCCAACCCACTGTACACTGTTTCAGGAGAAAGAAAGGGGGGAAAACAGAGCTGATTTTTCACCTGAAGTGCTCCCATACATATGATTCCTGAGGCACCTCTGCTTTTTTAGCTTCTATGTCCATTTGGAAAGCGGTGCAGTTTGTTGTGCTATGAGGCGAAGTGATGTGGATACCTGGCAGGATATTGACTAATCCAGCTAGAATTTATTTATTTTTAACATTTTATATATATCATCACTGTCCAAACAAAAACAAGTATATCCAAAATGGTAACTGTACAGGAGAAGGCAAAAACACCCTTAACTTTTAATGTAAGTTAATGTAAAGAGATTTTATTCTAAGTGGTTTCGGGGCAATTTTATTGGTCCATTCATCATGGAATTTATATGTCTAATCTGACATCTCTTGTTTATTCAAAATATTGTACTTTAGGCTACAATTCTTGTGGTTTTTTTTTTTATTAAAAAAAAGCCTCCAAATCTCTTAAAACAGATGTGTACACATTCTGTCTCTTAAAATGGACATAGAGTACATAAAAAATGGTAATGGTAATGTTGTTAACACATCACTTTTTAGAGTGTAGAGAAATTAATACCAGCAGAACCAATGAATACTCAAGTATTCAACTTATTCAGGCCAACCCATCAAACTAATGTTATAAAAGTGTGTCATATATTTTTTTGCTACATGTCCAGCTCCTTTTACTCAAATCTATTCCGAGAGGGGGGAAAAGCAGACCTCTGAACCATATAGAAGGGCAAATTCCAACACCTTTCTCTTTCATGTACACATTGATCCATTTAAACTGTCTTTGTCTCTCCGTAGACCTGCTCAGTCGACTCCGAGAGGCCAGGAAACCAGATGGGTCTACAGATCATGTGGGCCACATTTTAGTGGACTGGGTAAGACACATGCTTGATATGCTTTAAAGGAATAGTTGGTGTCTGTTTTTTGCCCTTCGCTCTACTGTTATCTATTAAAATGGTCAAAACTTTGTAGCGGAAAGGAGAGCAGTAGCAGCCATCTTCATGTACATTTGTCCATTTTTATAGACAACAGTGTGTCATACATTGTCAGAAACCACATAAGCAAGTCTACTTGAGATGACTTAACAACATAGTTTGCTTATAAGCTCCTGCTGCTTGTTTGCTACCTTAGCCTTGTGCCTCAAAACATTTAAAAAACAAACATGTAAAGGAAAAGTTGTGTACATTTTGAATTTACACCAGACTGTTCCCTTAAAAAGTGGGGAGTCTCACTAAAACTTTCACAAACAGACACAAACTCCTGTCATCTCCCTGTCTGCTGACCACCCACACTTTTAAAAAAGCCTGCAGTTGCACTTGGTACAGGCAGTATCGTGGTTATAGTAAGGAGTTATTTGGCTTGGTGTTTATGTGGAGGAGTGGAAACATCTCCAAGCGGTGAGTGTGGGGGAGGATAGAAGTGGGGATTTTTTAGCACTTTTTTATGCAGCCTTATCAAGACATCATTAGGAACTTGGAGTACGAATCAACGGTGTACAATGTACAATGTCCATGTAAAAGCATTGACACCCTGCCAGAAGATTCATGTAAGTTTACATATCATCCAGGATGTCCAAGCAATATAATCCTCTGATGTCCTTTTAACTAGTAACCTAAAAAGTTGCTGATAACAGCTATTTCAAACAAGCCCTGCTCTCTCTGTGGGGTTAAAAGGATGAGAGCCAGGGGGTGGTCTCTGCTTTCAGAGCGCCACTCTATTAATCTCACTTGACAGCTCTGTCCTGTCGAATGTTCCTGTTCAGGGCACCGCGAGGCGGAGGTGATAGGGGTCTGTTTGCATTTGTGTGTGCTGCGGGACAAACCTATTGGCTTTTTCTCTTCGCTCTGCTGTGCTGGTTGTGGACATTAAACAACAAGCTTGTCGCTTTCATGCTTCGTTTTTTTTTTTAGTCTAGAAGATGCTAGGCAGATCAGCAGTGTCTAGCTGGCAAAGTTTCTCAGACCGTTCAATGATGCGGTGAAGCACTTTTTATTCTCAAAGCAATCCATTAAAGAAATAAATGAAATAGCATTAAAACAAGGCAGGAGCAGATTAATTTGATCAAGGCTTATTTCAGACATTGTCATTCTGCTTACATTCAACTTTTCCATAACTCTTAATTTAACTCATTCTAACTCTAACCCCAGTCCTAAACCCTGAATATTGGCTCTAATTTTAATTCTACCCCTTTTGCTGCTGTTAACTGAGTTTGTCTAGATAGTTTGTCAACACTTGAAGTTAAGTAGGTTTGTAGATAAGCTATAGGGGGTCATGGAAATAAAATGGGACTGATAGAAATAAATGTGTGACTGCTTTGGAAAGGTACAAAGAGCTTCCAGCTAATGTTTCTGCTGTTTTAAGAAATGAAAATAGATTCCACCATTTTTATCCCATTTTTGCATAATTAAATGGTTCAGATGTAAACAAAGTCATTCACAGTAGTTTGAAAAACGATGGTCAGCTCTAGAGAAACGAACCAAGTCAGAATTGTTCAGAGTGGTGGTGATAGGAACCAGACGTCCGAAGAGTTTAATGCGCTCAAAAGCTACACCACAAAACAATATTGTGTGAAATGGGTGCGAACACATTTCTGAGACATTGTTTTAAAGACAAGTTTTTAGCCTAAAATACATGTTGAAAATTTGCAGTGCTGCAAGTTAATACAATTCTTAAAGAAAACCTATCTTTCTTATTTTGATTTACCACCATTTTACCATCATCTACATTACATGTAAACATTCAGAAGACATATGTAGGTTCACTGGTGGTTTTAGATTGTAAATGGAACGGCTGGATTTATGTTGTAAACTGCACGACAAATTAGTGGAATTCCCTATCAAACAACAAGGACCCATATTCAGGACCACAGTTCAGTTCCTTAGTTTTCTAGCTACATAACCTGCGTATTACTTTCACTATAGTTACAGAATTATTTATAGTAAGTGCCAAATAATAGGTTTTAAGTATAGTAACTAAACAATAAACCTGCAGTTTAGGTGGTTAAAGTATTCCTCATCTGGATGACATGTCAGGATATGAGTTAGGCTGAAAGTGGTTGAATTTATCCATGTCAGTGACCAGTCCATTTCTGTACCACTGACATTTTTCTTTCCCTGGTAAAGATGCTATACATGTGGTAGGCAAAGAAATTCACAAAGCCAAAGGGTCACGCGCAAAACCCCTCTGAGGGCAAAGAACAACATCACCTCAGATGCTGGAGAGCCACAACTCTCACTCAGACACACACAGTTCTTTTATGAGGTGGTGTGTGAACTTCTTTTAGAAGAGAGGTCACTGAAAAGAGAGTACAGCAACCCTAAGCTATCTGACCCTTTGGCCCCTGGTGGGGGCCCGAGTTGTGTTCGGTCCAGTGAACGTGGCCTGCCGGCCCGCAGATTTTTCTGATGCCTGTGGACTAAAAGAAGCAGATGTGTGCCACCAGATTCAGAATGAGGAAGTTAAACCTCAAGACATGCCTTAAAAACAATCGTTTGGTGACAAATCAGCCAATATATGAAGTTTACTCCTTCAGTTTAGTACTGGATCCACAAGGCTAATGTACCTAACAAGTAATGGAAGCTTATACCCCAATAATTAGCATTGTGCATCATGCAACTTTCCTCAGACTCTGTTTCTAAAACAGATTTACTTGTGTTTTATATACAATTGACAAATTACGCAAAAAAAGTATTGCACAGTGCTTAACTAGAAACAGTAATAGTAGGCATCCAAATGTTTATATTGAGGTATATTGAAACATTGCAGTGAGATTTCCCTTCTCATCTTTAGTGTAGAGCCTGTAGATAGTCACGTTCCGCAGGCCTTTTCCGGTTCTCAGCCTTTTTGGATTAAACCTTACAGAGGATGCGATTTATCGCCGTGTCCATTTATTCGGCTAGTTGTTATTGAAGAAGGGATGGTGCTGTCCTGCACGTCTTTTCCTGTTTACGCTAAAGGCACCATGAAGGAACAATGCCGGCCAGAAGAGGACAGTGGGTGCTCATCAGACTGTTTATTTCAGACCTCGTCCATCCTAAATGAGTTTCTTCCATGGAACCTTTGCTCTGTGCAAATCCATCAAGTGCAGATTGCATAACCATATAAACATGTCTGAATGCTGCTGCACTTCGTAAAAAAACTGGAGAACGGTCTGAAGAAAGAGAGACTTCTCCAGCTTGTTTTGATAGGATTTTAGAAGCAGAATGTTCAACCCAACAAAAAAAATCTGTTCAGTTTCTCAAAAATTCACAGTTAAGGCACATTTCTGACATTTATGATATGCGATCCCTTGTCATTCAAATAGGTATTTGATTATATTGTAATCTGAGTAAGTCTAACCTGGGTTTTGCCCAGGTTGGATGAATCAATTCCTACATACTCGCATACCTCAAAATAACTAATAAAAGAACTAAAACATGGAAAACAGTTCTTGTTTTTGAACCATGTAAAAAATGTAATTCTTCACTCTGTAAATCATTTAATACACTCTTGGAAGATGGCCCCTTCTTCCAGGGAGAACATCCATCACTCATACTGATGAATACCATTTTTGACAGCCTCCTCCTTCTCTCTTTACCTGCTCTAGGAATGTACAGCTGTTCCCATAACACTGACAGATTTGAAGTCAGCTGAAAGAATTCTTTGAGTGCTGGTCTCTGGTTATTACCTGCTTACACTGGCTTGTAGCATTTTTCAGAGTTCTGTAAGAGACAGGCCTGGGCTTATAGAACAGAGCAAATTTGTGAGTGCTGTCAGCCTCAAGCTTAGCCAGAGGGCAGTTGCACATGTTTTGGGCTTTCTGGTGAAAGGGCTTTGTATCTTTTAAAGGGATGGACCAGCAATTTTCAACCTAATCTCTGTCTGTCGTATGTGCAGCACACGGTTCATTGCCACAGACAATAATTTTTGACACATTTCCCTATATTTAGTAAAAGACCAAAAAAAAATGTTGACTCAATGCATATGTAATTGAAACAACTGCTCATTGGCTTCTGCTTAGTCTTTTACTAAGTACGGGGAAATTCAATTAAATTATTGTCTGTGTTGACTGACTATATGCTACAGACGCAGCCGATAGAGACTTCAATATTCTGTAATTACTTACTCTAAATTATGGCACTCTTGCTGCTAAAAATTACACTGTGTGAACAAGTAAAACTTGATGGCTAAAAAGAAGCGATATAAATTGCATTAGGAGTTGGCTAAACTTGATTAAAATCAGAATTCAAATATGAAATAAGTTACACATGAACATTCCTGGTCGGTCCAATTAGGAAGTGTCTTTTAAAGCCATTTTTGACTATTAATATGTGTTTGTTGCTCATTCTGCTCTCCTTTGTTTGCAGCTGCCCTGTTTGGACTCTTACAATAGCTACTGCAGTAACCAGGTGGCAGCCAAAGCCTTGCTGGACCATAAGAAGCAGGATCATAGAGTGCACGACTTCTTGCAGCGCTGCCTGGAGTCGCCCTTCAGCCGCAAGTTAGACCTGTGGAACTTTCTCGACATCCCGCGCAGCCGGCTGGTCAAGTACCCACTTCTGCTACGGGAGATCCTCAAACACACGCCCAACGACCACCCGGACCGCCAACATCTGGACGAGGCAGTGAGTGCAACCACAGCAGTAGTGACTGTGTTCACTATTGCGACAGTTCTAATATCCTAGACGTGTATTGTTTTGTGAATTGGACAATATACAGTGATACATTCTGGAGAACCCCTTAAACACTGAGCTTATTACTCAGTTATCAATCTTGATGTGTTATTTAGCAACTTATATGGTTTGTTCAGTAATCACTGTGAAACTGTTATGCAAGTTATGTAGAAGGGCCTTACCAGTCGTTAAGCAAGTAATATTGACACGCATTTATCTGTATCGTCAAAAGTGGATATTTATAAGCTGCTTGTTTTCATGTTAATGAACATGCGGCTCTAACAAGAGAAGTTGGGCCTTATGTAGTTCTGAGAGTGAAGATCTGAATTCTGGACCTACATACAGACCTATAGAATTTTCAATATGTTCGGTTAGCAGTAAAAATGATTTGTGTTGTGTTTAATTCTTTTAAAGCTTACCCAAGTTGTTCTCCCTCTCAGATCAACATGATCCAGAGCATTGTGGCTGAGATTAACACTCAGACAGGCGAGTCAGAATGCCGCTACTATAAAGAGCGCCTGCTCTACCTGGAAGAGAGCCAGAGGGACATGCTGATCGACAGCTCGCGCATTCTCAGCTGCCACGGAGAGCTGAAGAACAACAGAGGAGCTGTGAGTATTTTACACACATACACACATTCACACAAAGATTTGTACAGTGTCACAACATGGGGACATTTAGCTGCTCGTTGGTTTATCTGTAGGTCTCCCATGATCACTGTCCAGCACAGTCATCCGAGGTGCTGAAGTGTCACTTTAAATTCAGTTTGAAAGCTGTATTTGAATGAGATATAAAGGGCGTGAGCAGCTGGGGTTCAGTGTGCACTACTACAGATGTTTTGGAGAGTCCAGCTAGGAATATGTGCTAATGGCATAAATAAATGAGTAGCATTAATAATTTAGTGCAGTACCTTTAACAGCCTTATTAATGATACTATACCTATACTGATAGATCGCATGTCACTGTCCAAAAAAAGCAGTGTTCAATTTTTCTACTTCTATACCACTTGAATTGAAATTTCTCGATGAATGGAACAATAGAAAAGTGACAAAAGTACTTGGAGTAATATCTCATTATATTAACGTTTTGCCTTCTCCAGTAATGTTACCATTTTTGTATATACATGGTGTTTTTTTGATAATATATATGAACGTACACAAAACTTTGGACGCTCCTGGTCAAATTATTAACTGAGAACCAGAGTCCAGCACAATTTCCCTGCTCTAGTGCACTAATTAAACCTGGTAATTAATTAATGAGTCAAGTCAGGCGTGCTTGAGCAGGAAAATTACCCAACTGTGCAGCAATCCTTCCAGGCCAGAGTTCCTCCACCCCTGTGAACACATCCTCTACAGAGAACACACTGCTGCACATTTTAATGCATAAATACTGCTTATTTCCTGAATGTATCATATTGGAAAAAAAAATAAAACATAAAATGTAGCTTTTACAAAAGTTATGACTCATTTTATATTTTAGGTGTTATTTTTTGCCAATATTTTAAAATAGAATTTAAAATAATTTTTCAAATAGAAACTGAAAAATAGAAACTGTGTGCCTATATATGACATGGTTCCCTGCAGAGGACGTGTTAACTTGTTTTAACTTAGAATATCAACTAAACATGCCATTCGATTGGGGATTCCATTGCATGAGACTGTATATGTAACTCTTGTTATGACATAAGTCTTCATTAAGTCTAACTCTAAACCTAAACCCAAGCTTAGCCTTAGTAACCAGAAAGAAATGGTTTACTTTACATATTTAGGGCCATTTTGCTGCTTGACCTGTTTCTCTTCTGACTTTTCTACAATTGAAGGAAATATGCTTTTGTGTCAGTGTATCAATGTATGTGTCATTGCATGTTTCAATGTATTTTTGTCCTAAAAATGTACAAAAATGCCCCCAACCCACCAAAACAGTAGCCCTGCTTACTATTACAAGTGTGAAACGATAGAGAATGCAGAAAGAGAGGTTTTCAGGAAAGGTGCGACCTATAACCACTGTCACAGATTAAGAATAAGAGCCCTATAGCTCAAAGCCGAGACGCATTCCTCCAAATCCCTGGACGTGGCCTTTGCTCTTACAACATTACATAAAGAGCTGTGAGGCTGACCAGAGGTGAGGCGCAAACAGCACTTGAGGGCAAAGCTATAAAGTTACATCTGGGGATGAGCCTGTCTGTTCTCATCTTAGACAAAGCAGCTCTCCCTTTGAGAAATGGGACTAGTTCAGCCATTCCCCCAAGGGAGAGCTCACATTGTAAAACCTGAACAAAGAGGAATGTGACCAAAGCTTATGCTTGTCATAGGCAGATTCCCCCACATTCACCATGTAATCCAATTTCTGTTTGGAGTGTTTACACCAGCTATGCACAAACAAAAAGTACCTCTCTGAAACTGCTGTCTGTCGCTCATGTTCTACTGTTCATTTTATCCAAAGATACAAAGGATCTGATAACTTTTTCAGAGCCTTAGTTGTGCAGTTTTGCAGTCTTTTGCTATCACACTAATCACAGTTGGGCTGCACGACATGGTTAAAGACAGGCCTGCATTATTTTCACCAGAATAATTTACTTCACTCATCTTGAAAGCTGTTAATCAAGAACAGTCACAGAGCAGACAAAGCAACTTTGTCTTTCATGTTGCATGAGGGAGAACTGAAACATAACATCAGGCTTCAAACAATGAACCAGAGTGCTACATCCGGCAAAGGCAAAACAGTGGTATTTCACTTTGAACTTTGCTCAGACACAACTCATTTAAAAGTTTTGGTTTTGAGAAATGAGTGAAGGTTAAATCAGGATCTTTAGATTGAGGCCCAACTGAATCTGAGTTATCATAAACAGAAGCAAGCGGCAGTTAGAGTTCAGGAGGGCAAGTAAGGTTTGCTTTTAGCGTGTCCACTTTTTTTCACCAGCATGAGTATCAGTTTCCTTCAACTAAACACTCTCAAGCACCCACACAAGGCCGCCTCCTTTCATGGTCAAGCATCAAAGTTGCATTCTAAATTCAGTATGTTGCACAAAAGCCTATGGGATCCAAATGGGGAAAAATAGCCTGAAGTGTAATCCTCAAAATGGAAATATTGAAAGTAGACAAATCCACCTCTGGGTGCTTCGATGACAACTTGCATGTTACATAACACGCCAGCATCACATGCTTTTAGAATATTTATTGAACAGCTTTCACGGAGTGATGCAAGGCTTAATGGAATGCATTATTCTCTTGTAGAGATTAATTTAAGTAGCTGTGCTAATCCCAAAGAATGTTTGCTGGTGAGAAAATGTATGGCAGAAGCGTTTTGAATAATCTGTTTATCTTTTGTTTGCCATTTGACTCAATTCACTGCTGCTGCTATTCACATTAAGGCCATAACTGTTAAACCTTCTCCAACTAATGGGTCTTTTCAAAGTTTGTACCTCAGCCAGACACACTAAACTACCAGTAACGGAAGACTAGTGTGATATAAAATGACTTTCTCACTTTTTTTTGCCCTTTAGTAACAAACCCCTTCTCTTTTTCTCTCGCTCTTTGCAGAAGCTACACGTGTTCCTGTTCCAGGACGTGTTAGTGATTACACGGGCCATCACCCAAAATGAGCAGCTGTGGTACCAGCTCTACAGGCAGCCCATACCTCTGCGGGACCTGGAGTGGGAAGACTTGCAGGATGGAGAGATTCGCCTGGGGGGCTCCATCAGAGGAGCCTTCAGCAACACAGAGAGGAGTGAGTGTCTGATCTGTTTGGTCCTCAGAAACTCTGACATTAAGTCTTGTCCTTAGCTTAGTTTTGCTCTGGATGCTGTGATGGTTAGTAATATGCGTATATGGTTTCTGACTCTGTATGACATGCAATATTATTACAAATTGAGTAAATAGAAATTAAAGCTAAAACTGATTAGGGTTATAAGCAAATAAGACAAAGTTAAATCTAAGGCCAACTAGGATAATAAGTAATCTGCCAACCAACGAAAACAAGCAAGTCAATTAGAGATTACATACAACTTGACATGTTTTGAGGCAAGTATTGATTTAGGCACGCAGTTTGCAGGATGCTAACTGGTGAGGTATAAGCTGCAGAGCTCCAGTGCAAAACAAAAGATAGAGAAACCAGACATGTTGGCTGATCAACTGCGTTTAGTGAAAAAGGGAACATTTTGTAAATTTGACTCTTCTCAAAACTGCCACTGTAACATTTGTATAGTTCAAAGTTAGATGTCATTGCAAAAATACATTGACCCAGTGCTGCGAGATGATATACCACCAATCAGTCCTCATTTTCATTCTGTTTGCCCATTGTAATCAATGGCTCCAGTATGCTAGTAGCTGTAATTAAACATAAGTTTGAACTTTTCTCTAAAATGTTCTCCAGGATAGAGTTCAGAACCAAAGTACTGATTTACTCTATAAAGATGGCTTCTCAACTCTCCATAACATCCATCCCCATTTCTCTTTTCCACCAGCCAAAAACTTTTTCCGGGTGACGTTCCGCAGTGGCGGGCAGCTGCACTCCCACTCCTTCCAAGCCAGCGACGCCTTCAACAAGCAGCAGTGGCTCAACTGCATCCGGCAAGCTAAAGTAGCGGTGGGCTCGGAACCCCCTCGGATTCCGCGGTCTCCCTCAGGGCTTACAACGCCCTCTCAGGACAAAACAGAGGAGCGCATGGACCAAAGCGACAGCGACTCCTCAGACTGTAGCATGGACACTAGTGATGCGGGTGCCGAGGCCACAGAGCCACCCACTGACTGCCCGCTGATGGAGCACACAGACTGGATCACCACCCCTGTGGAAGTGTGAAAATCGTACTGTAACATGGACCTGTGCTATCATCTCCGCTCACCAAACAAACCTGTACAGTATTGTCATGGAGAAGCCGTGAACTTCAGTGGAAGCCAGAGCAAATAGAAGCCACACCTCTTTCTGTTCCTTGTCTCACTTACTCACTTCTTTCCTGTTGCACCTCATTTTGCATTTTCACTTTTCTTTCTCCTTTTCCATCTCCTGTGCCTTTCTATGAAACTGTGGTGTGTTCTGTGGCAGTTTAGACTGTAAAACTGTGTCGGGTTGAAAGTCTCAACAGACGAAATGGTGAAGAGGACTAAGTGTCTAAGTGTCATACTTCATAGTGTGAACTAAAGGTAGCCCTCTGTCTGACCTGATTTTTCCCCCTCTTCATCACACACTCCTCACACCAAGCAGTTTGTCTGCCAACACTCCCTGTTCCACTGCACTACTACTTGTGGCCTCTGAGAGGAAAGATTCAGATTCTATTTAAAGATGTATTATATTTATGTTCACGTAAATATGTTGAGTGTGTTATGTCTGCAGTAATCACCCAGACAAAATGACCAGCGGAATGTTTTCACTGACAATCAAGAAAGTGGTTTGGGAGTCGGGCAACTCACAGTGTTTCAGTGGCAGCGGGTTGTACAGAAGTTTCTACTGTGATTCGAAGTTCTACTCTGTGGCTAGACTGACAGACGCAAGGTGGACGAGGCCTGTGGCCTGGAGAGACTCAAGCTAAACCCATGCAGCCTTCTGATAAATGTGTTTCTATAAGCCACAGCTATGTTGTATATGTATATCTATCACCTGGCAGAGACCACCAATGAAGTATGTGCACCCTCTGTTGCTGGCTTGAAAGGACTCAAGCCAGCTGTGGCCAGTGCTGTTCCTCAGAAGGGCAGAACAGGTTTGAACACGTAATCATTAATCTGCGATAATGTATCAATGCAAATGGAGTCACATCCAACAGGCCAATTCTGTGAAGCACTTTGATTAAAGAAAGTATCCTGAGATGGAAGATAATCCATTAGACTTTCATTCTGTCTGTTGGAAGTTTTGGAAATGAAATTGAACTAGAAAAAAGAGCAAATAATGGGCACTAGGTGTTGCTTGTCACGTTGAACATCAAGACATAAGATGATTTTGTGAACATGCGTCGTTAGCCCATATAATGTGGTAGAAATGGCAGCAATTTTGCGAAAACGATGTAGCGGAGGCTCTCTCACGTGGTGTAAAAAGTCCTATTAGCCTGTGCCATGTTGCTCAGCATACAGAGTCATCTTTTACTGGGTGTTGTGAACGCGTGTTTGTGTGCGTGTGCTGAAACCAGTGTATCGCATCATGTTTTATCACTGCAACTGAAAAAAAATCCATTGCCAAAAAGTGTTTGTTTTAATCTTGTGCGAGTTTACCTTTCGGGCCTTTGCGTCATTTTGTTTCGTACTGTCACAAGGAATCGACATTGCCAGGTAATCACTATAAAAAATTATCCAAAAAACAGTATATGGTTTTATTGTTTTTCGTTTTCTTTATTTTTTCAAAGAAATGTATTGAAATTTATGCAGTAGGATGATGTTTATTTATAGCTTATTTTTCACCTGACCTAACTATTGTGTTCTCTTTTTCGGGTTGCTCATGGAAAAAGGAGGTGGTATAACTGGAGGTAAAGGAGTGAAATGGGTTTAGAGTGTTGGATCTGAGGTGATGGAGAGAATTGAAGAGTTTTCTGTCACAGAGAGCGTTCTTATAGCCATAAGGAGGGGTATACAAAAGCCACCAGATTGTGTTGGACTGTGTTAGCACGGCACGTCTATACTGATTGAAAGCTGGAAAGTGTGTAATGTTGAGAGTACAAAATAAATGATTTTAAAAACCTAATAGATTTTTCTGTTGTTTTTTTTTTTGTTTTGGTAAGCCTGTTTAAGACTAGAAAAAATAGGCTAACACTTTATTTGGAGTGGTTGTTTGTAGATTATTAATAAACTCTTAACAGAGTATCAGTAACACATCAACAACATATTAATGAAGTAGCAGTAGTGAAGCATCTGAATACAGTGAAGTAAATATCTTATAGATGTTCTGTTGATACATTACTTACATTAAGTAGATGTGTTATTAATATGTTACTTCTATTATGCAAAACCTAATCTGACCCAACCTTACACAAAACCTAACCCTAAACCTGGGCCTGAAATCCCAACCCTAACCTCAGCCTCACCCCAAAACCTAACCCTAACCCTCATATGTGTTTGACATGTTACTGGGAGTCTGTTGAGTGTTGTTTCATCTAAAAAGGACCACTGAAAATAAAGTATCACCAAAAAAGCTGTGACAGAATGTTTGTCAGCTTGATTGCATTGAAATATGAAAGAAACATTTGGTATTTTAAACACTCTTGGCATATGATCATTTTCAATATCGGTACACAACAATCATATAGTAATTTCTGGGCAGATCAAGGTTAAGCATGAATAATGATGTTTGGACTGGACAAAGGCTTCAAACAGAATCCTTTAGGTCACTGGACTGCTACCCAGAAAATGAATTAAATATCATGGTTGTTACATTTTTAAAGAAACTGGAATGACTGAAAAGGACTGCAGTGGTCATTCTTCGCCAAGTTACTGTAGCATGGATCTCTAAGACATACAGTACTGTCAGACACCACCCCTCACTGATTTAGTTTCCAGTCAAAACGGTCATTAAGTACAAGTTATTTTTTTCCAGGAGATATTTCTGAGATATTTTTAGATAAAAGATAATAGGCTTACATAAGGACAGAGAAAGTCAAAGGAAAATAAGAGAAAAACACAGGTTTTTCCAGAACTGGAGTTCAAAAAAATATTAAAAGATACAGAGAAAATGAGACTCCTAACAACCATGGAAGACCTGGTAGACCCCAAAACTGTCCCCATCAGATAAACAGCACTTAAAGCTTTCATCTTTGAGAGAGAGGAGAAAATCAAACTGCTTCAGATCTGAAAACATCCACAGGTGTTTCTGACTCAGTCTGAAAGGACATGTAGCTGTTAGCCTCACTGAGAAAAGTAAATAAGACAAAAAAGAACATTTGTAAATCAAATAAAAGAAGTTTCTGGTGTTCTCAGAGCAATGGACTGACCACCCCAGAGTCCAGATCCCAACATCACTGAATGGATCATGAGAAGCAGAAAATACAACCAACTTCTGGGACTGAACTTTGGAGGTGTGGAAAAATATCCTTGCAGATTCGAAGACTGAAAGCAAGACTTGTGAAACGAATACTGAAAAATATAAACACATATTTAGTTTTTGAGGCTTCTGTATAACGTTCTGTTAAAAATTTTCAGTTTTATTCTGATGCTGAGAAAGAATAATTTGTATTTAATAGCTGTTTTCACTGTATTATGTCACTATATAGCTGTACATATTTATTTGCAAAGAGGTGTGTAATAAATAAGAGAACAGTACAGCAGTTGAAATAGATTATATGTTCAAACTGTCAGATTACTAGAACTAATGTTGGTAGGGAACTTAGTCACAAACTTGAATACTTCAGCAAAAAAATCACAATTTAGATGAACAACAGACGAAAGTACAGACAAAGTAGCTGCTACTACTGTTTCAGCAATTAGTTTGAGTGACGATTTCCATGTGCAGTTTGCACAATGCTAATTGGTGCTAATAAAACTTCCGCTTCTTGTTAGCTACGTTAGCCTCTTTGCTCCAGTACAAAACTAAAGAAGAAATCTTCAGACACCAACATCTTGGCTGACTGACTTCATCTGTATAAAGGGGGGAATTGTGTAAATTAGATTTTTTTTCCCAACTACTCCTTCCCCAGATAGTTTTGGGCCAATTCTGGCTTTCCTACGTGAGTGTTGGTTGACTAGCAGATAGGTGTTAGACATGAAGGCCAGAATAGGGCCAGATCCGGCGTGAATGTTGTGGACAAACAATGTAGTTGGGTCAGATTGGGGCCAGATGTGGGCCACATCCTTTAATTCTATAAACTTTACAGTGTGTGGGCCAGATCTGGGCTGAGGACCCAGCCGCATGTTGGGCCAGAACAAACCAAAGATGTGGCCCACAAGTGGGCCAGACAAATTTTGCTAACTGGGTCAAAGATACTTAAATCAGTTATACAATTTTCAGTGTTTCACAGATGATGTTGAAACATCTGAACTGTTGAAGTTTTTACAGGTCTGCAGGTCATTTGACACGCAATGACCCCGTCTCTCACACCCACTCATTAATATTTGTCGAAACCCTTCTTACATAACATTTTCACATTCCTTTTTACTGATAACTACCCAGCTTCATTAGCTAAGCACTTTTCTTGTTTTTACTGGATACACTATCATTATTTACGAAGGCCATCAAATGCGGCCCCTTGCCCTCTGTACCTATTGACCTTTTCCTTGTAGACTGACCAGGCTGTTCCCTGTTTCAGGTACATACTGACACCATTTCAACGATCACAACTACTAAAACTAACCTGACTAAACAGCTCATCTTGCTTTCCGCCACCCAACTCACTCTTTATAATGACCCAATAATAAAAAGATGTTCTCGAAGGGAGGATTTATAAAAATGTATTACTATTAATTAGCTCTAGGCCCTAATGAGCCACTGAATAAGGCATGAGTACTCTTGGGAATTCTTATCCTTCTTTCTACTGTCTCAGTGGCTGCTAAATGTTTAAAGACGAGCTAATGAGAGGAGATGAGGACGCCTCGATTTTTTTATACAGTAATGGTTACATGTTTGAAAACTGAATGAAGCTGCCGACGTGGAAAAGAAATGAATGAGCATGTGTTTTTTCACGCGAGATATATTTCAAATCTATTGTTTCATTCCAATGATGTATTTCTTGTTTCGTAACGCTTAAGTAGATTAACCAAAACCTTTTTTGGACAATTTTATACATTTTTAAGTTCATAAAGCTTCACTTCACAGAAAAGTAGGATCCCTCAAAAGCCACAGCTCTGATTCTTATTACGAAGTCAGCTCCATTTCATGTTAATGTGATAGTGAAGTGAAAAGAGATTTACCTGTTTTTCTCCCGTGGCCCAAAAGTTAGACGATCAGCCAAGACGTTTGATTTTTGCTTCTTGTGTTTTGCACTGCAGTGGCTAACTTAGGGTTAGCTAAGTTAGCAACTGTGTGAATCCTTGCTGAAAAAAAAACAGAACATCAAAAATTCCATGCTGATCTAAACTGGTTCATGCTGGGCTGGTACTGGTCTAGTTGGTCACCCAGCATGGTCATACTGGTTGACTAGCATATCAGCATCCAAAACACATCATGTTGGTTTTGCTGGTGACCAGGCCATGCTGGCCTATGCTGGTGTTTGTAGCAGGGATTGCATAGCTAAAGCAGTAATAGTAGCCATCTTGAAGGCTGGGTTTTGTCTGTACAAGCCTACTTGAGATTCCCTAATACTTTGACAGGGCGAGTGATGATTTGGACAGTTTGCGTGTAGTCAAAAGGTGCCATTAGCCTCATAGCTACATTGTAAAACTAAACAAGCGAAGTTGTTTGGTTGATGACTACATTTGGGGGTAAGAAAAATGTTGTACAACTTTGATTTTTGACAAACCATTGTGTCAAGGATTGATGCCTCAGGGTCACTGTTTTGTTCTGGCTAGAAAAAACAGCACAGACCAGCATATGTTGTGTTTTGGATGCTGGTATACCGGTCAGCAGCAATGAGAGCTGTAATGTTGATCCACACTAAAACCAGCATATTGCTGTTGTTGGAATAAAACCTTGTTTCTCCATTTTTGTCATTTTTCAGTTTTTGACATTTTGAAAATGCCTGTTGCTCTTTTCATTCTGTGTAAACTTCATGAAGAATAGACCAATAAATGGCCCAAAATGACTTGGAAAAAAGTCGTTTTGTTGACTTGCATTAAAAGTAAAGTAAGTTTTTTCCTTCTTCTGTAAAGTTACTATTTTGGAGTTTTCGAGGTTTTCTTCCAACAATAGCGATACGCTTTGTTTTGGATGCTGGTATACTGGTCAGCAGTAATGAAAGCTGTTATGCTGATCAACTCTACCAGCATATGTTGTGTTTTGGATGCTGGCGTGCTGATCAACCAGCATGACTGACCGGGTGACCGGCATAAACCAGCTTAGACCAGCATTGTGTGCTGGTCTAATCTGTTTTTTTCCTAAGAGGGAATGGTGCTCAGTTCTTTTTGGCAAGTATCTTTTTGGCACCTATCTCCAGAGAAATGAGCTTTTGTTGCCCTCTTGTGGTCATATTGATATCTCCATGGTCTACTCATATAAAGAATCCTTTACCATGTAACTTACAATATCTGAAGATGTCTGAAATTTGTCTGGAACAGGCCACAGTATTGCAGCACATGTTACTGCAGTATATGTATCAGTTTTTACTGTGCACCATGTTGTCATTCTCTTTGTTCCCTTTCAGTCACTGAACAGGTTGGAGTGAACCCAGAGTTGGGGGCAGTACAGGTAAGGTTTGTTGTTTAAAAAAGGTCTGAAGTTTGCAAAGCGCTCTGTGTTTAACTTCTGCAGGTCCCTTTGCTAATAAGCACCTTTACCTGCCTTGAAAGATGGAAAATAACAAGCAGAGGCTGAACAGCCGAGCTTGCGTCAGCCTGTATTGTTTGTCTGGAGTGTGTGTGTGATTGTCAGGTTAATTAGTGCCACAGGGAACAATTGTGTACATGTAACCTCAGTGGAGCAAATCTTTTTTGACTGATTTGTTAAGACGAAATTAAGAAATAATGCAAAATGATAAACTATGAATTTCAGTACATTTAAAAAGTTTGCTAACAGCACGATCAGACTATTTTTCATTTAAAAAATTCACGCTTAGGGTTACTATGTCTTTATATAATACAATAGTATATACCCCTTTATTT